GCAAGTGAGTACAGTACAAGTATGATGGCAGCACTTCTTCCTGCTCAACTTACAATTTTAGTTGGAGAAATAAATTTTTAAGGTTATAAAATAAACAAAAAAATTTTTGACAGACATCTTAGAAGCTATTAAATTAATGCCAGTGGCTTAGAGGCTCTTTCTTTGCTTGCTACAGGAATTAAAATTTAGAATTTGTTGATGATTTTTATAATGACATATATGAGATGAGATTTTTTTTATTCTTACAAGGGAGATAATAAATATGGGGGAACATGGTAAAGTAGTGAATAATCCAGAGAAAGTACATCAGGAACTGCAGGAATGACTTCAGAAATAAACTTTATTTATACCTTTATAATAGTTTCCCTTCCAAGTTACCCACCCTGTCCCTCGTACACTGCGAGGAAATTGGGTGTAGCCTGAGGGAGTAGTAAAATCTTGCTGGTGAGCTTGCTGTTGTGTATTAGTTGTCTAGCTGTCCAGAGAATGACAGAAGTATCCTATAAAAAACAAAACAAACCAAACAAGCAAACCTCTAAATGGAAGAAGACGTAAGTATCATTTAGAGATATATCAGAGATGCAACTTCCAATCAAGTCCTTTCTAATGAAATTTTTGTGGAAACACTAAAGATAGAAGGGTAAATTCCAGTAAATTTGCTAATTCCAGGCAGAATCAGACTGGTGTTATGAAATTTCAATCAGTTTTTTAAAAAAATGACTAGAAAATGTTTTTTAGATGGTCAAGTGTGGTTGATTGTAGGACTTCATTGTAGCATATAACATGAATGAAAAATATTACTCTTGTCACATTTGTCAATCCAAATGTGAGTTTAGATTCTACCCTAGCATGGAAATTTAGGATTTTTCTCTTTTTAAAAAACAAAGAAACAAACAAATCTGAATTAGTTGTTTCCTTGATGTAAGAAAGCTGTTAATGTTAGGAAGTGGGGTTATAATGAAGCTGTTTAATCAAATGGTGCAGTTTAAGATGCTTAGCAGGTACAGAGATACCAAACAGGAAAGAAATCATTTGGAACTGAAGATGAAATAATTATTGTGATTATTACATTTGAGTAAGATTCTCGTGAATGCAGAGTGCTGCGTGACGGAGAAACGATTTTCATGGCTTGAACTTGTGTTATAAAATTCTGGGGAGGGTGATCTCTCGCCAGTATCTTGAAGTGCCTGCGGTTGGGTACCGGGTTGCTATGGTAACAGATGAAGGCTTGCCCGGTTAAACATCCTCTAAGCACAATGGTATTTTCAGTCTGGGGCTTCAAATAAGACCTGTAATCTTTGCTCCTTTGTTGTTTGCATTAATTATCTGCCTATCAATTCTCTGAGCAGAACTGCAGGTGAGGCTGCTTAACCATGTGTTTTCTGCTATATATATATGTGGCTCTCTGTTGCCACTTGAAGAAAATTGACCTGCCATGGAAATTGGATCCAGTTACTGTCCTCTGCAAAGTGGTGGCAGAAGCTGTTGAGCCCATATATTGCAATTCAGATCCGATTCTGCTGAAATGCTCCTGGGGAAGAGGGGAAGGTGCCACTGGGTGACAAAACATTGTGCACAAAATGGGAGTGATAACAGCATCAGTCACGTTTTTGGATGAACTTTACATTTGAATGTGGCTGTTTGCCTCACTTGTGAGGAATATTAAAGATCTGCCTTTTGTTAATGATATGTGAGGGAGTAAGAGATAAACTGGGGAAGTGCCAAAATGTGTGAAACTTGTGAAGGATTAAAATTCTCAAGAGGAGATCTTGCACCATGTATGAGAGATTTTCACAGGCTTCATGTGTGCTTTGTTTGCAGCAATTGGAGTATTAAGCACAGAGAGGCCACTGTGACTATTGCCCAGAAAATAGGTTGTGGTTTGTAGTTTCCTGCAGCAGTTTTTAGTTTCTGAAAAGCAAACCTCAATCTCATGCCCCAATATTCATGTGCTAGTATTAATTTCCATTTTAATGTTTTTTTGCTGTTCCAGGTGCCTTATTTGTCCTTGTATCAGTTTGGCTCAGAGTTCTCCCTCCACAGCATCCAGTCCTCTCACCATTATTATAGTAACAGTCCAAGAGCCCATTTGGGACTTTAGGTCCAGGAAAAAGGTAGAGAGTGTTGTGTTAGTACTGTGATTCCAAATGTGTGAGATACCAAAACCAGCAAAATTCCTGCCTGTCTGTATTGCACTGTAATGTGGTATCTGTGACAGTGATCTTGCCTTAGCCTGTACTGTGTGTGCCACGAGGCCCGCTCTGGTCCTTTGCTGTGCCCTCTGACCCTCCTAAGCTTCTGCCTTCACTTCTTTTTTCCTTTTTTTTCCCCCAGTTACATGTTTAGCATCTCTGGTAGTGATGAGGGAGAGGAGCTAGGGGTAGGCTGTGTTCCCTGTCTATGTCAGCAGTTATCTGCATAATTTCTCCAGCAAAACTTTGGACCAGAAGAGAGCTGTCATGTAGATGAGTGAAGGGGTTGGACTGCCAGCCCTTGAAAAAGGAGTAAATAGTCAGGTGGTGCTTAGTTTGGGAAGCCTGTAGGCTGCACCTTTCACTCTAGAGTCAAGCCCCAAGGGCACATCCCCACCCCTACAGAGATCTGGTCTGCTGGAGGATGGGGCAAGGAGATATTAATGAGCTCGATCCTCCCCTCAACACTGGCTTGGTTGTTTTGTATTTGCATGAGAAAGAAAAAACTGTTATCCATCTCTTACAGGTACATCTGTGAATGTATGGGGGAATAAAAAGGTGGCACTTGCCCCAAAATAAATAGTAGGGAGTAAAGAGTAGGTGGGTGCAATAGGGTGGATGAAAGGTGCATAAGGAAAGGTGGTGGTTCCTTGTCTGACCACTGCAAATCAGCTGTGTTTCAGTTGAGTCTTGAGAGCAATCCTTTCACAAGCTTCTCTCTCTGTTCTAGTGTTGGGAATAAACTCACTTTGTTCTCAGCTGTACTGAAATGTTTATTCATTAGATTTTAATAAAGAAAGTCAAATCTCATATTCCTTAATCAGTGTTGGTAACTGAATATTATTAATTGATTAGTCAATCCCTGTTAGCATGATAAACCAACAGAAACCCGCAGTGACAACAGCCTTCAGATTATGCATTCATTCTGTAAATATAAATAGCTACTATTACTCCTCTCCCAACTGATGAAATATTTGTCTTTTTTTTGAAGAGCAACGTTTTTTTCTTTAACTGGTAAGCTGTATTTATTTGTGTTGTTGCCTATTTTTCCTTCAGGAGCCGGTCTCATTTTGCAGGTTGTTTGAAGAGGTGTTCCATGTTTGCATACCATGACTGTTTTCTGTGTTTTGTTCTTCCTTGGTATCCTCTGGTATTTGTGAGTGTAGCCAAGGCCACTGATCCAGCCAGATGTTTTTGCAATATAATTTCCTCAATAAGGAAGTATGGAAAGATCTTTATCAGTGTCTTTACTAGTTTTCTCACTACCACTTATGTGAAAACCTAAGATAAATAAGCCCATGAAGCTAGAAATAAAAGCAGGACAGTATGATCTTTTCATGGAAGCATCATGCTGCTTTTCTGCAGAAAATGTCAAATCCTTTAGATAGACGGGTCTACGCCATTGTCTCTTTTTTACAGATGGGGAAACAAAGAGCTTAAGTGATTCAAACAGCACAGTGCAGCAGATATACTGCAGTGCTGGGAACAGGACCTTCTTCTTCTACTCCCAAGCCACTAGCTGATGACCAGGATGTGCTGTAGCACCTTTAGTAGCTCTTGTTAATATTCTTTCTCTATCCAGGGCTGCTATATTTTCTTCATTATCATTACATTGAGTCCTGCCATGCTAGCTTTGGCCATCTGTTTTTCCTGCCAGTGCTTTTGCCATTTCTTCCATGACTGCCTTATGCTTGGAACAATCTGCTTGGTTGACTCCTTCTCAAAAACTACATGTACTAGGACACAGAGAGGAAGCTGCCTTCTGATGATGACAAGGCAGAGGGCCAGAAAGGGTAGCTAAGTTTTGATGTGCGAGTGTGGCTTCTAGCCTGTTCTGTGCTGAGCTTTATTCAACACATCCTGTTGGTTCAAGAGGATGACATCACCCTCTGGAATATAACTCCTGTCGTCCCACTAGAAATTCACTTACGTGTGACCAAAGAAAGAACCGCAGTTTATAGAAATCTCAGTTTGTGTGCTGAGGTAAAAAGCAGAGGTGGTCTTAAGAAGCTGAGAGTTTGTGGGATGTATTCCCTCCGTATAGTGCACCCTTTCTAGTTCCCTTCATTCCTGTAGTGGCTTGACACACTTGCTGCAGGGCCTGATGCTAATATTTTCCTCTGCAAATATGAGGATTTATGACATCAGAACTAAAATTAGATGTTCCCTCCTGAATTCCCATCGTTCCCTCTCTTGGTGTCTCAGCTCCTAGAATTGCAAGGTGGAAATAAAAGTGTATGAAGAAAATGAATGATGAATGAACAAATTTTTTAGGGTACACTTACCCATATTTTTTCTTCTTGTTGCCACACACAAACACACATTCTGTCTCTTCCGAGTCAAATCGTGTGTTCTTCAGGAGAAGAAACCTGTGACCTGACTGCGTGAGAACTTTGCTAATGTACTTTAAAATGTTTAGAGCTGGAAAGCAGACACTTTTTTTGGTTTGGTTTATGAAAGATGATGTGACTGATGTTAGAAAACAGAAAGCTGTCCTCTCCAAGTTCTCTGCCTGGCTGGTTGACTATCATAACAAGTGCAGGCTTATGCATCAGAAGAGCTGAGCAGGTGGTGCAAAAGGTGCTCAGCACATGTAAAATTTGACCACAAACTGTTTTAAAATGTGGCTTCAGTTCCATTTCATGATTATTGCGTTTTCTAATTCTATCTCACTCCCCTGGCAAACTGTTTGAGTGAAAATTCAGGATTTGGATGGATAGCTATTTAAGTGTTTACATGTCAGGTCACAAAAGCTATAGGGGGCATATACAGAAGTGTCCTTTAATTGTTTTTCTTTTTATCTTTTAGGTCTCTCAGCAGCCAAACTGCTGACTGAGTCAGGCTTGAACGTGGTGCTGCTGGAAGCCAATGACAGGGTTGGTGGAAGAACTTTCACCGTAAGGGTAATTATCTCCAAAGCCATTTATACTACATAAACGTACATATAGTATATGCTATACATATGTGTAATTATACACATGTATGGTATATCTGTGTATATGTACATATAGTATACACATACTACATGGATGTATTTATCTTCCCTGCTAGAGGACCTACTTGAGGGAGTATTTCTAGAGTAGTAGCAGATGGGAAATTTCCTGATACTGTACCAGCAAGAGTGGGCCCCACACTACAAGAAAGACATTGAGGTGCTGGAGAATGTCCAGAGAAGAGCAAGGAAGCTGGTAAAGGGTCTAGAGCACAAGTCTTACAAGGAGCAGCTGAGGGAACTGGGGTTGTTTAGCCTGGAGAAAAGGAGGCTGAGGGGAGACCTTATCGCTCTCTAAAACTACCTGAAAAGAGGGTGTAGTGAGGTGGGTGTAGGTCTCTTCTGCCAAGTAACAAGCAATAGGATAAGAGGAGGCAGCCTCAAGTGGTACCAGGGGAGGTTTAGATTGGATATTAGGAAAAATTTCCTCACCAAGAGGGTTGTCACGCATTGGAACGGGCCGCCCAGGGAAGTGGTTGAGGCACCATCCTGGGACGTAATTAAAAGATATGTAGATGTGGTGCTTAGGGACATGGTTTAGTGGTGGAATGGGCAGTGTTAGATTTTTGGTTGGACTTGATGATCTTAAAGATCTTTTCCAACCAAAATTATTCTATGAAAGACCGGCATGATGGTGGGGACAGAATATTTCCTTGTCATCTGCAGGCTCTGGAGTCATCAGTCCTTTCCTCTGGGAAGGAGAACATTAAGTTTCAAAATCATTTTCTGGGGAGAGACACTGGAGAAATCTCTATTAAAAAAAACCCATAAGGCCAACTGTTCCATGAAGAGCCTTAAGATGAACTGTAACAAGCCCTGTGAAGAGTGAATGGCAGAGGTGGCTGGGAACTAGAACCAGCATGTCTTCACTCCTTTACCTTCTGCCCTACCTTGACCTGGGAGACCCCCCTCCCACTCTGTTCATTAGAAAGTCTTACCTGTGCTACTTCCTAATACAGTCTGCTTTGAACTGGTCATTGCTGAGATGCCTGACTGAGCAAGAACTCCACAGATGTCTCTGACTCTGTCCTTTCGCTGCCTGTCAGGCTCTTTTCTCTCATGTTTGCTAAGGCTGTAATGTAACAACAGGCCAGCTAAGCTGGTTATGAACTCCTTGTCCGAGATTCTCTTGTAATTGCCATACCAGAACTCTACCAAAGAATGGAAGTTTTCCATGGGGAGAGGAATCTTGGCCAAAGTACTCTGGGAGTATTTCACTTAAGAAATTCCTCTGGGTTGCTCTTTTAACTTATGTTCTATTCACAAGGGGCTTATTTTTTATCTTTTTTTTTTTTTGTTTCTTCTCTTTTGTGTGTTGTGTGTGATAAACCAGAATAAGCAAGTTAAATATGTGGACCTTGGAGGAGCTTACGTGGGGCCAACCCAAAATCGTCTCCTGCGGTTATCTAAAGAGTTAGGAATAGAGACATACAAAGTGAATGAAGTTGAGCACCTGATACACCATGTCAAGGTAAGATGCTCTCAAGCGTGCTGCTCTAGACAGGCAAGTTGTAGTGATCTCCTTTCTTGTTGTTTTCCGTCCATGCTACAGTGGAGTGTACCTGTTTAAGTATGCATAATATGAGTTTCTTGGACAAAATTAAGCATATTGGTAATGAAGAACTCATACAAATTACTATATGCGTGGACATCTACATGTGTACCCTGTAGACACATCCTGTTAGCTGATCATAGAATCATAGAATGGTTTGGATTGGAAGGGACCTCAAAGATCATCTAGTTCCAATCCCCCCGCCTTCAGCAGGGACACCCTCCACTAGATCAGGTTGCTCAAAGCCTCATCCAACCTGGTCTTAAACACTTCCAGGGAGGGGGCAGCCACAGCTTCTCTGGGCAACCTGTTCCAGTGTCTGACCACCCTCACAGTGAAAAACTTCTTCCTAATATCTAATCTAAATCTCCCCTCTTTCAGTTTAAACCCATTTCCCCTTGTCTTGTCATTAGTTGCCCTTATGAAAAGTCCCTCCCCAGCTTTCTTATAGGCCCCCTTCCGGTACTGGAAGGCCGCTATGAGATCTCCCCGGAGCCTTCTCTTTTTCAGGCTGAACAGCCCCAACTCTTTCAGCCTGTCTTCATAGGAGAGGTGCTCCAGCCCTCGGATCATCCTGGTGGCCCTTCTCTGGACTTGTTCCAACTGGTCCATGTCTTGGTTCAGGTCTGAGCTCTTAGTTAAAAGCTCTCAAAAAGCTTCACTGTTGTGAACTGAGTAACAGTACAACTGTTACTCTTCTCTACAGATCAGCTCTCATATACACTGCCTAAGGTGTCTGAAAGCCTCTTTCAGAAGTTCTAAAGTATCTTCAGTCAGGCTGAAAGTTTTTCAAGATGGGCTTCCTAAACCAATGACAATTATTATCCTGACTGAAAGAAATGTGAGAGGTTAAGTCTGGTTTTACTGATGGGGAAACTAACATGCAGAGTAGCAAAAGCCATTGTAATAGTAATTGCAAAACTCTCTGGGAGTCAAACATTCTTGTGGAGGCAGATTTAAAGGATCTGTTCACAATCTGAAACAGGACAGCTATGGCAAAGCTGTTAAAAAGCCCACGCATTCTTGGGATTCGTACTCTGCTTTCTCCAAAAGAGCATCCTTTCTCCTTTCCTGATATAGACCAGTGTTGCACTCCCACAGAAGGAAAACCTTCTATGTTAGCCCTGAGGAAATTAACATTGAGTTTCTTTATATGCTTTGGAACAATGACTGGCAAAATATTCGTCAGATAGTAGTTAGTGTTTAATCAAAGGTTAAAGAAAACATTGACAGATTTTAAAACAGCGATATAGGAATTGTTATAAAAAAGAAGTGTGTTCTCAAAGTGATTTGCTGTGGTGACTGTCGACAATTCTGCTGTGGTAGAACTGGTGGGTACATCCACACTGTTCTGTTTTGTGTGCCTCTGGTATCATCCTCAAAGGCAGATTTCCTCTTTGTTCACACTATTTAGCCTTCAGAGTCTCCCCAATAACAATAGGAAGTCATGTCATGAGGGGAGACCTTAGTGGTAGAAGACAATTGACACGGCCAGTCAGGATGACCAGCTCTCAGGACAACCTTGCAAGCATGGGGGCATTCCAAAATGCTACCAGAAGTCACTGAAGCCAAAGCTAAAGCTGACATGTGGACTTGATTTATTGTCAGCAGCTTGGTAAGCCAGACCCCATTCTCTTTTAGGATCTCTAGGAATCAGCTTGTGGGTAGATATTGGTATTACTGTGCCGATTGAAATAACCTTTTGTTTTCCAACAGGCTTTTAGAGTGAGGAAAAGAGAGAATGGCACAAAAGTATAAGTTTTGTCTTTCCCTTGACCACAAGTGTCTTATTGCATGAGTTGCCAGATGTTGTGTGTAGCCTTTTACCATCATCTCTGGATGCTTTTTACCCCAGGGCAGTGAGTGCTGGTGTGAATCAAGGCTCTCGGCTTTCCTCCCTACCCAGCACTGACAGGACTTGCTGGCATTCAGGGACGTACCCGAGGCTGTTGGAGAGGAGCATGCCTTGGCTTTGTCTGTGTGTTGGGCACAGGAAGGGCCTTGAATTAGAACACTAAGGCATTAGGACACAAGTCCAGGGAATCTGTACCGTAGTATGACTTGTATCCAAAAATCCAGAGGTGGAGGAAGCTACTCTGCTCCTGGAGGCATTCAAGCCATCCAAGCCTGGAGATGCAGGGTGCTTGCTACTTTGCTTAATGCCTGCATCTGTGCAAACAGATCTTGGGTGAGCTGTGAGGTAGGCTGAGGTCCTGGACTTGCTCCAGCACTCATGTCTGTGCTAAGACCTACTGGGAGATGCTCATAGATGCCATTATGTATGCTAGGGGCATGAAGCATCCATGACACTTTGATGCAGGCAAGTGTCTTGGTCTGAGTGCTGGCGGGCATATGAGTGATTGGCCACCACGCCTTACACAAAGCCATGGAAAAAGCTGGCCTGGAAGGGACCCTTGGAGGTTCCTACTCCACCCTGGGCTTCGAGCAGTGTCTGCCTCATGGTTAGGTCAGGTTGCTTGGGGCCATTCCCAGTCAAGTGTTGAAAAGCTCCAAGGCGAGGGATCCCATCTGCTAGCTGAGATGCTCCCAAGGCATGCTAAGAGCCTACAGGTTGGATTGAGACAGAGTTTGTAGGCTCAGGTTCTCAACATAGCTGCCTGTAGGAGAGCTCCTGAAGAGAGGAGGGAGAGAAGTGTCTACCAGAACTCCCTGGTAGCCAGGCAGGAGGTAGAGAGAGTGGGTATTCCACAGTCGATAGCTCCTCCTTTGAATCTCCTAATTTCACTCATTTAGAATCTTTTACTTCATTTTTGCTTCTGTGTTTATACAAGTGTGGGAAAGTATTATCATAGCTGAAGAATTACTTGCAGTTAAAGAATTGGAAGATGAGCAGTATATAGTAAACATATGCATTGTTTTGTGGCCAGATCGCTGTAATAATCTTCAGCCTTTTGCATTTCATGTAACTGTAATACGTTCCTTACACATCTCTTACTTGCAGACATGTGGCTTGCCCATGCATTCCCTGAGAATGGACAGTCTTCTTGTGTGCTCCCTGCAATTTAAGTAGTACTCTCATAGCTCACAAATTTGATTCCAAAATATACAAAGGTCTGTTGCCCCTGTGTGAATTTAAATTCACATGCTGACCCAAGCTTTGTGACTGTGGCCAAATCTAATTAAATTCTGGACCACAGAATTCTCTCTGAACCCAGAGAGGTGATGAAACCTAAAGGTTTTAATTCTTCTCTCACTACACAATCAGGCACCACAGTGCATCTTGTAAAATCAGCTGCTGTTTTTACATATACCCAGGGGCAAAATCCAGCCTTTCATAGTTAATTAAATTCATTTTAGAGGCTTTTTACTACAAGTAATATATGCAGTTTCTTTGTACTACAAAATGAAAAGAATGCATTTTGTTGATCTCTGGGTGGGTCTTTGCTAATTAGGCTTTACCAGCTTGATTACGTTATGTGTTTTTTTTCTCCTATAATCTTTTTTAATGTCAGGTTCTGTTGTGAGATTATGTTTGGTCTCGCTTATATTGTATGTGATGTCTTCTCAGCAACTCAAAATTATATTTCTGGCTCTACTTTTTTTTTTTAATTTCCCTCCACTTGTTAAGCTGCCTTTTTCATGGTCTTTGAAAGGAGATTAGGATGTTCTTTTCATTTGTGTAAATACTGGTTCATTAGCCTTAGTAAGAAAATTAGTATAGCTCTGCAAGTAATATTTGGTAGGCAAATTGCTGCTTGAACACTGTTGCTTTTCAAGAGTGTAACTGAAGTTAGGTTCATAAATCCAGATTTAAGAAGCAAAAGCAGCACTATTTGGGAAGTCATTAACTCCTAACAGTGCTCCTATTGGACTGGTGAGCAGATGTAAAATACTTCTTAAAATAAGACAACTTTTCCTTAGCTGCCCAAGAGAGGATTCAGAGCCCTACCTTAGATAGGTAGATTTGCAACTTTTCACTGGTGGTGCTTATTTTCCTCACCAAAGTGACAGCTTTTATCTCTAGAAAACAAACCAAAGTACAGGTAATTTTTACCTTTGCCATGTAACAGTCCCTGGAAGGAAATGTTGAAATATGAAAATATGTCAACTATTGTGAGGGTTTAATTATCAACATATTTCCTTTGTTAATTCAAATTGCACTTCACTTTTGTGCAGTCCCAGTAGCTGTGCAAATTTCTTGCATTTTAAAACACGAATTTATCAAATGTTACTAAATGTAAAACAAGTTCCTTTGCTAAGTAAGGTAACTTTGGAACTGGTTTACTCTAAATCTGTGGAAAGAAACATTTATTTGTATGGCTAATTTGCCAAATTAATCTTTTTAGAACTTGATTCCTTCATATACAGTCAGGATGATCTACCTTTTATCCTACTGTGGTGTCAGCTGAACACCCTCTGTGACAGAGCTTGCTTCTCAAATCTAGTCATTAGCCTGTGGTAGATCCTCCCCACTGTCATTGATGCTCTCTGTCATTTTTTTCCAGGTGTTTTTTCCACCAGAACTTTCTATGGGATAGTGCTGTGATAATTCCTCACATTTCCCCAGATTATAGCATCATTGCTAGAAAGTGACAGTAACATTTATTCCTGTGTTGTCTCAGTGCAGACTGTGGATAGTGCTAACAGCTGGCTTAGGTAGCTGGCTATTTTGACAGTGTATTGCAGCTGAAACATTCCTCCTGTGGTGGTAATTGAATTAAGTCCTGCTAATTGTTTCCTTAGCAGGCTTGTCATTACGTGCATCTAGGAGGGTCTTTCAGGTTAAAATGCTGGATGAAACATGAAGCATCCTCTCCCTACTCACTGGGCAGCGAGTTGCCGATTACTTCATTGCCTCGGTTAGGTACCCTGTAAAAGAATGGAGCTTTCCCATACCCATTCATCAGCCAGCAGCACTGGCTAGAGGTGTCCAAAGGCATGTCATGCCCTCTTCAAGT